GCTCCTGCTGCTGTTGCTGTTGCTCCTTCTGCTGCTGTTGCTCCTGCTGCTGCTGTTGCTCCTTCTGCTGCTGCTGTTACTCCTCCTGTTGCTCCTTCTGCTGCTGCTGTTACTCCTCCTGTTGCTCCTTCTGCTGCTGCTGTTACTCCTCCTGTTGCTCCTTCTGCTGCAGCTGTTACTCCTCCTGTTGCTCCTTCTGCTGCTGCTGTTACTCCTCCTGTTGCTCCTTCTGCTGCTGCTGTTACTCCTCCTGTTGCTCCTTCTGCTGCTGCTGTTACTCCTCCTGTTGCTCCTTCTGCTGCTGCTGTTACTCCTCCTGTTGCTCCTTCTGCTGCTGCTGTTACTCCTCCTGTTGCTCCTTCTGCTGCTGCTGTTACTCCTCCTGTTGCTCCTTCTGCTGCTGCTGTTACTCCTCCTGTTGCTCCTTCTGCTGCTGTTGCTCCTGCTGCTGTTGCTCCTTCTGCTGCTGTTGCTCCTGCTGCTGCTGTTGCTCCCTCTGCTGCTGCTGTTACTCCTCCTGTTGCTCCCTCTGCTGCTGCTGTTACTCCTCCTGTTGCTCCCTCTGCTGCTGCTGTTACTCCTCCTGTTGCTCCTTCTGCTGCAGCTGTTACTCCTCCTGTTGCTCCTTCTGCTGCAGCTGTTACTCCTCCTGTTGCTCCTTCTGCTGCTGCTGTTACTCCTCCTGTTGCTCCTTCTGCTGCTGTTGCTCCTCCTGTTGCTCCTGCTGCTGTTGCTCCTTCTGCTGCTGTTGCTCCTTCTGCTGCAGCTGTTACTCCTCCTGTTGCTCCCTCTGCTGCTGCTGTTACTCCTCCTGTTGCTCCCTCTGCTGCTGCTGTTACTCCTCCTGTTGCTCCTTCTGCTGCAGCTGTTACTCCTCCTGTTGCTCCTTCTGCTGCAGCTGTTACTCCTCCTGTTGCTCCTTCTGCTGCTGTTGCTCCTTCTGCTGCTGTTGCTCCTTCTGCTGCAGCTGTTACTCCTCCTGTTGCTCCTTCTGCTGCAGCTGTTACTCCTCCTGTTGCTCCTTCTGCTGCTGTTGCTCCTCCTGTTGCTCCTTCTGCTGCTGCTCCTTCTGCTACATGTCTTCAGAGATGCAGAGCCCACTGTTCTAACTATTCATGACTGCTGATTAAAGGAAAATATTATATACAAGTTTGTTGTAGTTCATAATGTTTTCAGCAGTGAAGCAGGAGGTGATGGAGGTGATGGAGGTGATGGAGGTGAAGCAGGAGGTGATGGAGGTGAAGCAGGACGTGAAGCTGGAGAAATTATGACCTTAATTTCACCACAAGTCTCTGAAAAAGAAGAACACAAACATCATGCATTAAAACACAGCCCACATTTAGGATTCTTTTTACACTTCATATTCAACTAATACTATTTATTTGGGGCTTTGCAAAAAACTGGTTAAAAATAAAATACAGAAATCCTTACAGTATTTAATATTAGAGATACAAGCTTCACAGCGGGAAACAGAAGAATGATATGATAGAAATATACACAAATAATCAAGTTAGAAGCATGGCTAACCACTTTAAACCTGTGTTTGTGGAAGTGGGACTTTGTCCTCTGCAAATTTCTTATTCATGACAAACGAAACCTCTGTATAATGTGTGTTTACTATTTATTAGACTATTGTATGAAAAGGGCTTTATAATTATTCTTGGCCTATTCTATAATTCCATATGTCTAATATATACAGTTTTCCCAGTCTCAGTATGGGATTAAAAACGATATGCACAATCTATTTTATATGAATACAGAAAACATGTGTTAGCATACTATAGCTGCTGTGCTGCAGAGTGATTTTCCATGAAAACGTGACTATTTCCTCAGTGTAGCTTTAATATTTAATCAGTGGGTTTGTTTCTCCCTAAAAGATAGAACACAACATGATTTTTCTTGTTCAAAAACCGAATCTGAATGAACTAGCCTCGTAGCATTAGCTTTTCGGGACTGAGCTTATTTACAGCAGATAACAAGGTTAAATACACACATCTGTGGCAGATCTAATTTATGTTGTGTTTTATCATAACAGTCGTGTTCATAACTCATCAGTAAAGTATAGCAGTACTTACTATAGACATAACTTCACAGTAAAGTATAGCAGTGCTTACCATAATGTTAGCTCCAGCAGCTCCGAGCTGAGTCTGTTGTTTACATGTTAATGCCGAACGGAGTTCTGCGCATGCGCGGCCGTGACTCGGCAAAAAGAAGGCAGCGAAGCATACATCAGATGCATCCTTCATATCTGCTCCAAAAGTGGCCGTTTCCATAGAGACGAAGTCATGATGCCTACGCTTGGCGAGCTCGCCAAGTTGTTTTGGACACCCCTGCAATAGCCGTCGCGTGAAGAAGTGACGTCACGATGCCTACATATCCACCCTACCTGGCCCGATGCCTAGCGTTTTGGACACAGCCTATGTCTCTCAGCTGGCCTGGGAACGCCTTGGGGTCCCCCCAGACGAGCTAGAGGAAGTGTGTGTGGATAGGGAAGTCTGGGCGTCTCTGCTTAGACTGCTGCCCCCACGACCCGGCAACGGATGAAGCGGAAGAAGATGGAATGAATGAATGGAATATATCTATATCTATAGTTAGGGCGTTGTTTTTAGGACGTTGTCATAGATGCGAGGCAAAACAAATCTTAACCCGCCTCCTCTGTTAAGAGAAGGTTTGTGACACAGAGGAATCTGGACTTGCTGGCAAAGCAGAGTCTGAGCGCACCCTACTGGTGCATGCAATCTCTTGTGTGCAGGTGTGTGGTTCTCCTCATGCCATACACACACATACAGTTAACCTCAGCCGCTGTTGGTGAAAGTGCATCATTTAGCACTGAAAGGTAAGCTGGGCATCACTATTTGTCCAGGTCCAGTTTAGATGCCGGCTTGGTGGGATCTAAGGTAGATCACGGCTAAATGATTCAGATTCAGATTCATTTATTAGGCATTTGCAGTAAAACCACATTGAAATACAATAGACCAGTGTCTCCCAAAGTGGGGTCCGCGGCCCCCTGGTGGGCCGCGAGGGTACTGCAGGGGGGCCGCGGGAGGTCATAAAAAAAATGAAAAAAATAATATAATTTTTTAATGTCAAATTTATGTTTTGTTTGTAATATTAAAATATTTGTGTTCATTATTTGACTTGAATAATCCACTGTAATCATTTTTGTATTACAATGTTTGTAGCAGAGGCTATTTCCCCAAAATAAAATAACCAGAAGAGCCTATTCTTAATGTTGTCTTCTTGGTTATTATTTTGGGGGGCCACGCAGACCCGTCAGATTTTTAAGGGGGCCTCGGTGTTACTGAGTTTGGGAATGGCTGCAATAGACAATCCAAATACTGTATTTTTGGAAGGGATTGGATTAATATGAGCTTTCTTCTTCCTCCAATCCCTTTTCTTACCAAATCAAGGGACGTTTAGACCAAGGACGTATGTGTGAACCATTGTGATCAATGAATGAATGAATGAATGAAGACCTTCGTTTCCCAGAATTGCTTACGTATGAGAGTCGACCATGAGACACAAGTTAATTCAGCTTTCCTTCCAAACGCTTCTGTCCATCCGTTGATCTTTCAGCAAATGTTTGACCTGTACCACACTCCATTGTGACACTACCCTGGTCAACTCTCGAAACATATCCTTATCTTCCCCGGAAAGCTTCTCATGATTGTTGGAATTTTTTTTAGACAATCCTCCAACGTTCAGGTCATTCAGGGCAACACCGAGTCCAATGATCAGAAACCCTGCCACCATTAAATAGTTAAAGCAGCGGTAAGCGATTCGGTTGTTTTGGCAGTTTCTTCTTGCTCGAGGGAGTAAGCAGCCCGGTCCTTGTCCCTACGCCACCACATGCACGCGCATAGTCCTCTTTGACTTTACAGTCTATGGTTGCGGCAACGAATCAAGAGAGCCCCAAAGTGGTCACGGGGACACTAGCGCTAAAAGCGAGAAGACTGAAGATACAACCAAAACAGGAACTAAACCAGGATTAAACCAGGACTGACAATGGGGGCTGCTAACGTGTTCGCCAATGCGGAAGTACTGTTTAATAATAAAATTAACATATGGCGCTCCTCAAATTCTGCTGTTATATAAAGTCTCTGGAAGGTCTCTGGACACAGAGACGCTGCAGAGCTGCATTTTTGGGGAAGAGCTTTACACCAAAAGCCGCTAGATTAACTCCATTAGCATCAAAGTCTGCCCGCCACTTCCGCCCTGTGTGTTCGTGGAACACCCTTTCATGCCGTTCTTTCTCCTGATTAGATAAAAACTGTAGGATAAAAGAAAAGTTTTGTACTCATTTTTAGAGGAGAGTAGAGTGACTGAGAGATCCGTGTTTCAGTCCAAACACTCTATATACACGTAAGTGATTCAGATTCAGACTAATTTATTTATCCCACCAGGGGCGATTCATTGCTATTGGAAGATATGACTATCTAAGACTTATATTAACACAAAAAATAGCTTACTTCTGTCTAACTATGACATCAATGCAAGGAATTGCAATTAAATATTGTAATTGTTTGACAGCACTACTAAAATCCCCACAAAATCTGTATGCATGCACCGGGAGAAGCTGGCTGCCGTTGCGTTGCCACTGAAATTACCCCACTGAGGGATGAATAAAGGTTATCTTATCTTAAATCCAACTTATGACAACGGAGTGAGGAAGTCATAAGTTGTTAAGGGGGAGAAATAGAATAGAAACCATTCAAACACAAATGACGCACTCTAAAAACAACTGAGAGTGTGCAGGTGACAAGAGGAGACAAGTTGTGAAGAGTGGATTTAGTGTTGAAAAGTAAATGGACGGTTGCAATGGTTTTGTGTCAGGTCTCGTTATATACAAATCACATAAAGTTTACAACATGTTCAAAAATATTTATTTCCACTATCATTACATTTACACAAAGTAATTAATTATATAGCACATGATTATTCTACAATATATGAAAACATATCAAATCAACCACTTAAAAATTATAACCAGTTTAAGATGTTTAAAAGCGAGTTTCCGATTCCACACCCTGTAGGCACAAAGACAAAGAAAGAGTTCACTATGCAATGAAAACAGCAGCCAACAAACTCTAGAATAACCTGTAGCTCCAGTGCTACCAGTAGCTCCTTCAAGGTTCAAGGATTTGCGGTGGTTATTTTATAAATTAATGTATAAAAAAGGAGCAGCTCCTATTTCTGTTATGTGCTCATTGATTGAAAAAGTGTAGAGACCACTGCTCTAGAAGTGTCATCTCAATATCAGACAATGTAACCTTAATGAGCAGACATTGGTGACACAGTGTTACGGGCAACGACCTATTGTGCCAGTTTTGCACTAGATGGCGCTCCCGTTGTGAGAAGTGCGAGGACGTCCGCTAACCCCGGGGATCCAACAATGAGGGCCTCCCCCATATAACCTCCCAGTCTCTGCCAGCTTGAGCTGTTCCGTGCCAGTCTACCTTCACCTCTTCTCCTGTGTTGTTGTGTCACTTTGTTATTCTGAGCTCTAGTTTGTTGTATAGTGACATTATTTCCTTGTTATTTCTGTATTCCTTGTTCGTTCCACATATCATTTTATTTACTACTATTAAATTTACTTATAATGCACTCATACTATTTCCACCTGGTTTTTGTTGCGTTCTTTACTCCCTAGCTGAGCCGGGCGTAACATCAGTGGTACTCGACCAAAACTTTTTGCAGACTTATTTTTCTATATTTTGACATGAGAAAAGCTGACACAGGTCCAAACGTCATTGGGCCTCATTCATGAACGGTTCTTAGGAACAGATTTGTACGTAAATCCTACTTACGCGGTTTTTACAAAGAAAGTGGCATTCACGAATATTTCTCGTAACCAGAATTTCTCTTGGGCAAGTACAAATCCTACGAGTCCTCAGGAGCACTCGTACGCATTCAGTGCCGACATGTTCACACGCCGGGGTTGTCCTCTTTGGTGAAGTTGAATAAAAATACAACATTCCAGTGATATGTCCGTCATATCGATGTATGTATTTATTTATTTGTAGTAATCTTTATTAGTAATCTTTATTTATATACCGCCTTTTTCACTGCAGATCTGGCCTACTTTTTAATTCATTTTGAAATGAAATGTGCCAACGCTTTATCAAATACATTGGAAATCTTGCCGTGTATTAGTGACCCCTTCCTATTTATAGGGGGCATTTCTTTATCCACGGGCCACAGAACAACGGCATATATACTGCTGCTGCAGGAGGTTACTGGGTCCGCGCTGAGTCTCTGCGCTGGTCTCTCCTATGGATCTATACGGGTCTGCACTGGTCTCTCCCATGGATCTATACTGGTCTGCACTGGTCTCTCCCATGGATCTACACGGGTCTGCACTGGTCTCTCCCATGGATCTATACGGGTCTGCACTGGTCTCTCCCATATACGGGTCTGCACTGGTCTCTCTCCATACGGGTCCGTGCTGCATGCTCCTGGATCCATACGGGTCCGCGCTGGTCTCTCAAGTCTGGTCTATGCGGTCTATCTTCGGTCCGCGCTGGTCTCTGCGCACCGGTCTCTCCAGTCAGGTCACTCCAGTCTATGCGGTCTCTCTTATAGGTCCGCGCTGGTTTCTGTGTGCTGGTCACTCCAGTCTCTCCTCGGGTCTGCATTGGTCTCAGCGCTGGTCCGCGCTGGAGATTAATCTCAAAATGTTATGAGCTTAATTTAAAAATATATTATGTATTATTTTAAAGATGAATCTCAAAATGTTTTGAGATTCATCTTTAAAATAATACATAATATATTTTTAAATTAAGCTCATAACATTTTGAGATTAATCTCATCATATTCTTAGATTAATCTCATAATTTTGCTAGTTCAACTTTATTATCATAATATTCCGACTTTTAAGTCAACATTTTATAACTTTATTCTCAGTCTGGTAAAAGAAGAAAAAAGGGTGACTCTTTTGCTCCGTGTAACTCTTTGCTTTAGGCCTGTTGCTGTTTCCTCAGCCGTCTGCACACGGCCCTGAATCCCCTTATATGGGCATTAATGGGCGGTTACTTATGCTAAGTACCTATGCTAATGAAGCACCTGGCACGCGCGCTGTACTTACGAGGAAATGGGATTCATCAATCTGAGAGAACAGCTGCGAACAATTCAGCGGCTTACGAGTGCGTTGATGAATCCCACGTGGGGACTTCTTAGAAATCTACTTAAGGACAACTTGAGAAGAAAGTTGAGTAGTTTCTTACGAAGTTATTCGTGAATGAGGCCCATTGATTTTAAATGCACTGGTAATGTATCTGAACGCATATCTTCAAAGATTTGCTTTCACAACTATAGAGGATTCTTTTCCAACTCATGGCTGGGTTGGAGTAGACATTTTTGAGTTTTAAATGAAGTGCTCTCAGTAGGTAAACAGTGAGAAAATTAATTTACCGAGCACAGTGAAAAGCCTTCAGGCAAAAAGGATATTTACAACAACAAAATATACGACTCCAGACTTCTACAAAAAAAATCTCTTTTTTCTGACTCCCTTTCACTGCTCCAGTCAACGTTCTGCATTCTGCATGCAAGCCACAACTCCCTCGGGGAAGATAAGACCAAGACAACACCTTGCCCTCCACACATAATACATACTACAATACATCATTTTATCTATCTATCTATCTACTGTTTTCACCATTGAAGTTGTATGCAGAAAGTCACACTCTCTGGTAAACCTGTATTGGGAATAGGAGTAGTGAGTCCCAATGTGAAGCTGAGAAGGGAACCTCAAGGATCACAAAAATACTATAAGCAGTGGCTTATAGTATATAGTCAGGGGTGCACATAAGTGATACGCAGGTACGCATGCGTGACAAATATCAGAAATGCGCACTATCACTTGAGTTAGAAAGCACTTTTGCGTACTTCACATGGACCAGTCCTTCTCAAAAAGTGGGGTGCGGTGCAATAACGTCCTCCGTTCTGACCCCGGAAGAAACTGTGGCCGCTCTGACAGCTCAGAGAACGCGCACGGACCATAGACGCACAGAACCACACACACGTGCGCGTTACGTGCACATTGCACGTGCAGGTCTTGCCTGTCTCACCCGTCTCTCCCCCATGCCTCTCCCACGTCTCCCCCAAGTCTCCACACGAAGCGCAGCCAAAACTCACTCTCTCACTGAATTAAAGCTCAGGTACCTACATTTTCGCTTGCATTGAAAATGCATGTTATTTGTGCACAGAAGTCAAATGTTGTGACCAAATCAAACAGAACAAATGAAAACAGTCTTGTTTATTCAATTTTACTTAATTAAGAAAGAGCCCTGTGAGTCATTATTTGACTTTTTGGGCAGAGAGTGGATTTTTTTCAATAATTTTTTTGTTAGTCCCACTTTATTGCCAAACTCTTTTTGACTTATTCTATTGAGAAAGATGTGTTAGTCCCACATTATTATTGGTTGTTTTATTACCTTTGCTGTGTGGAAGTTGTATATATTTTTTTATTATTCTACTGAAGGATAATAATAATACTCTGCATTTTTATTAAGTATTTAAGTGTCAGCTCTCAAATTCTTTTGAAATTATGTTTCTGCTAGAGAGGCCGAGATATCAATCATTCTGTACACGTTGAATTTCAGCATTAAAAAGAAGCAAGTATAAAATCTCGATTAAGAACCGCGCGACAAATGAGTACCAAACACCATGTCCTGGTACTCATCTGAGTACCTCACTGAAAAGATTATGTGCACCCCTGTATATAGTATATAGCCACAGTGTTTTCTAAACTAAACTAAAACAATAGAAATGTTCGCCATCTGCTGGTTATTTGCAAAACTGTAATAAATTACATACCTATGAGAATAATTTCCTTGATTGACTTTTCAAAATCAACAAACAAGGTACAGATCTGTTTAGCTTTGGTTTTGTTGAATTTAAACTTATCTGAAGGTTTATGGAAGTTAAGATTAGGCTCTCCAGTGACAGTTTCAGATTGCGTGCATTAGATCGATGGCACGTGATCCCCCATACAATAAGCAATACAATAAGCATTACGGCATTGTGCATGTCCCAAAAAGGCCTGATAGATAACTAATGCCCCACAAAATGACACTTAAACTCACATTTCTGTCTCTGCTGCGCATGCTGCAGTTGGCTTGGTGAACCGTGACTGTGGTTATGACCTGGACAGTATGAACAGTGTAAGAGCGTTTTAATAAGACAGTTTCACAGTTTGACATGACCAAAAACATACCTTGCTGAAGTGTGTCTTGCTCTGAACGGCCTCCGGGTGGCTCTCCAGGATCTGCAGCATGGCGTCATGAAGAGTGAGGAAGAAGATGGACGCTTTGACTTCATCGTCAAAGAATCCGCAGCTGTGGAGCTTCTCTTGGATCAGGGCTGAAGACATGATCAGAAAGGCCCAAATACAATATTCAATAGACACAAATATTATTCTTAAAGCCACTCTGTGTAATTTTTACAGTTGCTCCAAATGAAAAAACATGTTAACCAATAACAAATGTGACCTTTCTATGAATATTTACCTCCACCATGTTTTTGAACTGTTGTCATAGAGTTAGAATTTGAATTATAAATGTCGATGAGCTGAGTACTCTCCATGTCAATGCGCCATATTGATATTCATTAGCTAATAAGGGACAAAAAGGATGTGAGAATAGCGTTTTTGTTTCACAGGTGCTACTAATAATGTTGCTTCCACTGTGCCCTCATAAGTTTGAAGTAGGAACCATGAAGGACCGCAGTTATGTAAAAGAACCACTGAGGACCACAGTTATGAACTACCCAAACAACAATCTTTTAGAAAAATAATTATGCAAAACTCTAAAACCGGCGTCATAACAGCAAAGTGTCAACATCGCAAACCGCATGCACGAAAAGGCAGAGATAAAACAACAGGAGGCACACATACAACACATACAACAGACTCACAGGTGAACAATACGTAACAGTACGTAACTTTCTTCACACCGACAGTGATGTGAACGAGGCAGAATCTGCAACACGGATCTCAGGATGTTCTGACCCGCTCTGAGTCCAACTACTATGTCACAAGTTTCAACAAAACTTATTGAGGGAAAATCCTCATATGCAAAACAATCGCCAGAATATCAACAGTGTGAGTTTGAATAATAAATATCTGAGCTTTTAGCTGCAGTTCTGCCTCGGCTGTGTCAAAGGCAATGTCCTGGCTTCTCTTCTCACAGTGTTTGTAAAACTATATATTATAATAGATCCATGGTAAAACACCTCTGTGCAGCACGTGCCGCTTCACAATGCGGCCTTTGTTTACATGTCCACCTCCGCGCACGTGCGTGAAGGCAAGATCTGGTCATTTATCAAACTAAAGAAAGAATTCTTTCCTTAGTGGTCCGGTGAATAACCAGGTGTTGGGGACCACTGTCAAACACAACATATGGTCCTTGGAGGCTTCCGTAGTGTTGGTGGTAGAAGTAGACTTGCAGTATACTGTATGATCTCAACGCTAGATGGGAGTAAAAACTACACGCTCAATAAACAATCTGATTTTTTTGTAGATATAGATTCTCTTTGAATTTAAAGTTGACCCCTCATGATTATCTAGTATCTATCTAATATAATGTAATTTAACAGTTAATTTTGAAAATATTTTGAACGTTATTGGACTGGAACATTTTCCAATACAACGATAATGTTTGGAGATTTTAATGATGCAAACCTGTCCGCCGATCTCCCAAGTTACCTGCTCAAGCAGAGACTGTAAGTAAGTAAGTAAGTAAGTAAGTTTTTTATTTATATACCGCCTTTTCACTGCAGATCTGAGTCTCAAAGCGGTTTACAATTGTTAATTTTGGGCATTTGTCTCTCACTCCACACAGAGATGGGAGCGGGGCCAGTACAGGAGGCACATGCCAGAACTATTGGACATATTTTTAGTGGTAGGGGAAACCGGAGTACCCGGAGGAAACCTACGCAGACACGGGGAGAACATGCAAACTCCACTCAGAAAGGCCCTGGTCCGACCGGGATTTGAACCCAGGACCTTCTTGCTGAGAGGCGAGAGTGCTAACCACTCAGCCACCGTGCCGCCCAACATCCTCGACCAATACTACACTCCCATCAACAACGTTTACTGGCCCTTACTGAGGGTCCCGCTGGGCAGATCAGACCACACCACTCTGCTACTTGTCCCAAAATATAGGCAACAACTTAAATCCGAATGCGCTAAAACATAAGGATCATTAGCCCGTCCGTGCATGTCAGAGCGGATCCCTTTTTCAAATGTGGGTCTCCCTGAGGTTTCTCACTTTTTTCCCCACTGGGTTTTTGTGAGTTTTTCCTTGCCGATGCAGGAGGGTCTGTTGGACAGTTAGTGTCCAACTAGAAGGACTGTGGTGATGATCCAGGACACTTTAGAATTCTACAACATGTATGGACATTTATTAACATTCATGGACATTGGTCTCTCCCTATGGACTAATTCATATGTTTATATTTTGTGTCTTAACTGTTGATTCTCTGATCTGTGTTGGTGATTTCAATGGTTTTGTTAAGTTCTCTGAGATTACTTCTGTCGTGATTTAGGGCTTTAAAAGAAAAAGTTGTTGTTGTTGTATAAGATAAGTCCCACAGTTCCACAGTGAAGAAATTTCAATGTCATCGTTGCGCACATTAGAGTAGAGAAGAAAAATAAAGAAAACAAATAAGAGCACTCAGATTGCACACATCAAACAGGGCCTATTATTTGAGATAATAGATAATACAATTAAAGTAATAGTAATGAGATTGAAGCTGCTTCAAATACACTGATTGGGATGTGTTCAGCATAGCTGCAGAGAGCTGCTGACGGACACGGTGACGTCATACATGAACTTCTGAGTTGAAAAATGCATCCCCACAAAAACAGTCAAAGGCAACACACCCTGGTTTAATAACGAACTGTGAAAAATTAAGAAACAAAAAGCAAAGTGGCGTTAAGTGTCTTGCCTAAGTACACAACGGCAGCAGACATCAGGGGGAGTCGGTGGAGAAGGTATCTTGGTGGGCTCAAACCCATGACCTTCAAGCTTAAAAGGCCAATGCAATTTAAAAGGCCCAATACAGATATGGAAGAACAATTCATTATTAGTGACATGGTGGCTGAGTGGATAGCACTCTCGCTTCTCAGCAAGAAGGTCCTTTCTGTTCAAAGTGCAGAATATTTTATTTTTAAATGAATAATAATAATAACAATTTCCAAAACTCTTTAAGCTATTTTTTTTATGTTTTTAAAGTGTTTGAACAGGCAAATGCGTCCTCATCAATCACCTCAACATTTTTTGGTTAACCCACCCCCTCATGGGTTTGTAACTGGATGGGAATGTACCGGACCTGGACATTTGTCTGTATGACAATTAGAACACATTACTTTTCCTTTCTTTACACTTCAGGTCTAACAATGTATTATGTGCAGCAAACGTACTCACTGGCACATTACAAACGTGGATTAAATCTGGTTTGTACTTACGATCACAGGCCACAATGTACACCGCCACTTCAATACGGACCAACTCTTTCAACGTCTGGGGACAGGGGGAAAAAAGAAGTTTTTTTTGTACCATAATTCTATAATTAGGAACAGTCTTCTTGAGAATACAGCAGACACAGAAATCAGCAGGTGCATCATGTTCAGACACAGTCCCACTGCCATCCAGGAGTCATTTTGTGATCTGATGGAGACTTGTGTCATGCTGACCAACAAGCAGACTGTAAGAACTAATTACAAGGACATGGCTAACCACATCAGACTTCTCAGGCCTGCTCAGATGTGAAATTTACTTTTGAATCTATCTCTGGAAAATTACAAGGACATCTTGTATTGTGTCTTACGGTTTTGAGTCCTTTGAGTGCAGAGATGTCAATGAAGGACACAGCAGAGAAGTCCAGGACCAGGCTGTGCAGGTGGACTCTGGGCACGCTGATGTTGGCAGGCAGCTCAGCGCTCCAGTCCACATAGATCGGCAGGTCTTTGAGGTCCGTGGGCAAGTCCAAGTCCTCTGCAGAGCTGTCCTCCTCTTCCAGACCTATGTACGGCTCGCACGATGTGTTCAAGAAGCCCCTCTGCTGACCAGAGTTACAGGCTGTTGGTCATCAGTTGTTTCATTATTAATACGTTTAACCTTAATTACAATAAAGTTTTCTCATAAATGTTGTTCTTAAAGCTGTAGCATTCTTCTCCTTTCTCCGCTTAAAAAGTCTGTGAGCCCCGATGCTGTAGTTTAGCTGACATCGCATGTAGAGTCCAACTGGTGTATTTTACAACAACATGTATTGTTTACACTTGTGTTGAAGCCGCACGACTTGGATGGAGACTCCAGGAACACGCTCATGGAAGATACCGAAATCAATCAAATTTTCTATTATGAAAAATGTCAAAAACTTAAAATTTGAAGTGATATTCTATTCAATAAACAGCCATGTTAGATATATCAATAATTTAGTCACCACATCTATGTCTTCATCCAAGTCTGAGCTCATGTCACTGTTGATAGCATCGCTAAACCCATAACATCACCATCCATTCATCTTACACCCCCCTCTACCTACACTCCTACACACACCTACAGTCAGTTCTCTGGAAAAGCAAAGTTGTTCTGTGTGCACTGTCATTCCAAGACCCTCTCCCCTTGAGTCTGCATGTATCAATCAAACTCTCCCATTATCGCCACATGTTGGGTGGGTGGTTAGGTTACACAGATCTCATTCATTGTCACCTGTATGTTCTTATATGGTCAAAAAAGAGCATGGGCAACTTCCAACAAAAGAATCAAAGTTCCCCACACTGCTAAGTAAATAAGGCCTCTGTGAGACTGATTTTCTTTAGCAGGGACAGGGAGAAGTGTCAAAGTTGATGGTAATGAGGATACAGCAAAATACAGGACTAGAAAAGCTGAGGCTGTGGTGGATATCATACAATAAAATGGTCTGAAAAAGAATATTCATATGTTAGAATGCCCCAGTAGAAGTACAGACCTATTTGTAGCGGTTTGTGGATGTACCCCCATATATACAAAATATACCAATATACAGTACCAATATATAGACTTAATGTAATGGCAGTGGATGAAGCCAAAATAATCAAAGTCTGATTTGACGGGGATCAATGTTGTGAACTGGATATAAAAATGTGGTCTTTCCATGGTTCAACATGGGACCGAAGCTCCTGTTAATCCCTGCCTACAACAAACTTGAAAGAAACGCCAAAAGAAGACTGGATTGTGCCTGACCGGTGTGCAGTGTAGCTCTCCTCTCTTCAGCAGCCTCCTGATTAAACGCAAAGCCTTGTTCCTCTTCCTCAGGACTCGTAAAGGATTAAAGCCAAGCTGAATATAAAAAAAAATACATCAAAGCACTACACAAATACACTGTTGGCAACGTAGCATTAGACACTCACAGATTCTACCAGTTTGTTTCTGAAAAAGTCAATATTGGCAAAAAAAAGCGGTGATGGTATTCGGAAAATCTTTACTCCGTCCGGCTCAAAAATCTGTAAACACACAACAGCATGAATACCATGACACTATGTAGACAGGGAGCAAAGACTGGAATAATTTAGGACTTTGTCAATGTTATTGCGTATTACAGGGCAATGGGTATAAAAAGACTACTCAAGCAATGTACTGTATTAATGGAAAAACAGTTAATGAATGATTAGTGAATGAATGAATAGTTGATCAAACTATAGTTATAGTTGCACATGGGTAAGGCAGCTTATGTAAATTGCCCTTATAATGAAGTACACTTAAGGAAGAAGTACATTATGTTATCAGTCATGTTCCAGAATAATATTTAGGCCTGGACTCCACCGGGTGCGTCTCCGTTGACGCGCGTTGGCTGCTGTCCGTCAGACGTCCGTAAAACGGACTAGTGGTCAAACCGGCTGCAGCAGTGCGCAACTCTAGCTGTCCGTTTATCAGCCTGCTTTGTTTTTGTAGGAGACACGTTTGGGCATTGTGTGAATGAATGAATATTTGGCTGATGGAGAAGTGTGTGTGTGTGTGTGCGCGCGTGCCCGCAGCGTTTATTATGATCCAGCCTCTTTGTTTGTTTTCTATACTTATTTAGCGCGTCATACACTTTTATCGGACCCAACTCCCCTCTCCGCGACCTTAGGCAACAGGCAGCCGCTATAGTTTTAAATAGAAGAAGCAGTGTGTGATTAAATACATGAAGAAAATTACACAGGTTTGTTAATAATCATTGTCATTAACAAATACTTATAACCAAGGGCTACAGCATATATCAATACATGTTTAATAATGTGGTAAATATATTATTCCATTGTATTTTCTATGGAAAACGGACCCGACATGCGTTGACGGACGGAACAAATAGGATTGTTTCTATTTCGTCCGTCCGCGTCCGTTGCACCCTCCGTTAACGGAATACGTCCGACGTGGGTCAGACGGACGCATGCGGAGGCAGTAAAGCCACTTCCATTCACCCTAAGGGAGATAACGGAGACGGAGATGAAACGGACATGTTTGGACGGATCCGTCGTCCGTTTTACGCGCCCGGTGGAGTCGGGGCCTTACGTTATTGCGCCAAGTGTGTGTAGCAGTCGATTGAGGAGACATCACCGCAGAGAAGGTGACCGGTGTGTGGGCAGTGGACGTTATAGAAAGACAGTTATCTCCTCCACCTGCTGCACTGTGGTCTGGGGGACAGTCCAAGATGGAGCAGGACTTCTTTTTTTTAAAGCTTTATTTATTGGGGTTTCTGGATTTTACATATTTGACATAGACGGTCCAAGAAATATATAATTCACACAGATTGGTAGCCCTATGGATGGAAAAAGTTGTTATGAAAAAAACAAATGGAAGCGTTGATAAGAGCATGGTTGTGTTCACGTATCACCACAGCACATTGAGTATCACCTCAATGCTAAACATGAAGCAGCTAGTGGACAATAGCCTGAGTACAAAGACCCACACCCACACTCCACCATGTGACTGCTTCAAGGACCTGGGGAACTAAGCCCAAATCTGAGTAAATATAGAAGATAAGGGCCTGAAAACGTCCTCCAGCAAGGGGATGTTCCACCTCAGGCCCTGTTTATACTGAGACGCTGCGCAGACGTTTCCAGGCTATTAACAGAAACGACCAGGCTCCTAATGCAAATTTCTCAGCGTTCACATGAGGTTGAAAAACGATGTAGTTCTAGCGCCCGGCCAGTAGTGGGCAGAGAAACTTTACAACACGACACACAACCCCCAGCCCCGTGCCCAGCCCCCCTCTCGGCAGTGTACTCACTTCCTGTGCCAGACCCTCAGAACGCACCAACATCATTCTGCATTTTAACAGCAGCTGTGAAAATGGAAACTGAACCTAGAGCTTCGCGTGTCTCGTTTGGACGAACGAAGGTGTAGAATTATCCTCTGGGCTGCGCTGGAAGCCCACGAAGCTAGTTAGTGTGACCACCGCCATTGTTGTTGATGTTTGTTCTCCGCTACTGCGCATGTCCAAATTTACGTGCGGGGAGCAGCGCGGAGGCGGGGGTCAGAGCACAGGGGGATTTCACACCTATTTCCCTCTCGCGGGTGTGAAAGAGAGCCCCGCTGTGCAGCGTATCTGAGTTGTCCCACTCTGCAGGCTGGATCTGAACCCTTACGTTTTCACCCCCCTGGAACACAGTCTTCGTATGAACGGTTGGTAGAAACCGACATCCAACTATACCGTTTTACTGCCACATTGTCTCCGTGTAAACTCAGCCTCAGTTGTCCCTCCCCAGAAAGGCAACTTTGTTTGTATGTGAATGTGAAATCCCCAAGGGCTGCCCCCCTCACTAAAATGTGTAAAGCCAAAACCACAGAAATCAGGCACATGTGAAAATACCAGTGGGGGAGGGTCCCAGCTCAAAAGTGGCCAAAATGACGTGCGCTGACATGCTTGCAATACCACCCCGGGCCGTTGGGGGTGGACCCAGAAGAAGAATTAGCCAATGCTAACATATAGCGTTAGCAGACCTCTCAAAAACGTCTTTACAGGATGGACCAAAAGTTGGCTCTTGGCCCAAAGCTCCGTTCCACATGTGTGTCAATGCTGAGGGGGGTGATTTTTTTTGGTCCACTCTAGTTTACTCGCGGGGAATTTTTGAAGTCTCTCGTTCAAATGAATGGAGCTGCGCTAGCTAACGCATGCGCAGATGCGTTTTTTTCACAATTTTCTTGTGGGCGAGATCACTCGCGGCCATCTTGGATTGCTCCATGAAAGCACTTTTCATGACCAACTCCTATGAACGGCGGAGATAGGCGTGACTCTGTCCATTAATATATACAGTCTATGGAAAATAACTTAACCCATTAGGGCCTGCATCGCCTGGTAAAACAGGCCTGCAAAACCTGAGGCCAATTTCAGAACCACCCTCCAAAACCTGAAGTTTTCCTGAAATTCAACGTCTACTAAATGATTGGTATCTCGGCCTCTGTAGCAGATAGAAACATAATTTCAAAAGAATTTGAGAGCTGACACATGTGGCTTTCGTAGCTCAGTTGGTGGAGCACTGGCCTTTGAGCCTGAAGGTTGTGGGTTCAAGCCCACCACGGGACCTTCTCCACCGACTCCCACTGATGACTGCTGTCGTTGTGTCCTTGGGCAAGACACTTAACCCTGCATTGCCTGAACCCCCCGCTGAAAAATCAAGGCTGTATTGTCACTGACAGAGCAGCCGTCCTCCTGTGGACTCACCACCTGCAGAGGATCAGTGAGGGGCTGGTGCTAAGTGAATTGGGTGCAGCTCTGACTGCCACCCCCCCAACCCAGAAATGGATTAAGGGGAAGAAGATGGATGGATGGACATGTGGCTTTCAATAAGAATGCAATGTATTATTATAAAACTTCAGTAGAAGAATATACAACTTCCACACAGGAAAGGTAATAAAACAACCAAAAACAATGTGAGACTAACACATGTGTATCAATGCAATAAGTCAAAAAGAGTTTGGCAATTAAGCGGCACTAACTATGTGGAAAAAAATATAAAAAATCCACTCTCAGCCCAAAAAGTCAAATAATGACTAACAAGGCTATTTCTAAAGTAAGCAAAATAAACAAAACACGACTGTTTGGGTTTGTTCTGTTTGATTTGGTCACAATATTTTATTTTTTCCCCAAAAAACATGCATTGTCAATGCAAGCAAAAATTTAGGTAGCTGAGCTTTATTCTTTCAGTGAGTCTTGGCTGCGCTTCGTCAGGAGACTTCGGGGAGACGAGGGAGAGACATGGGGGAGAGACAGGGAGAGGCGGGGGACAGACGAGGGAGGGAGCTTGTTGCACGTGCGGGTCTTGCCCGTCTCCCCCGTCTCTCCCTCGGTCCTGATCGTGCGTCTATGGTCCGCGCTCGGTACATGACCCCTGTGGCTGCGCGTTCGCTGAGCTGTCAAAGCAGCCACTGTTGCTCCCGGGGTCAGAGCGGAGGATGTGAATCCCGTTTGAGTACGTAACGCAAACCCCCGCCCGCGGTCACGCATGAAATTTTTAGCGAGAAATTCGGAATCCGCAGATCCGCAGATAATTCTCATCAGAGGTATATCTTGATACATTTCATTGGTTCAGAGAATTGATCAATGAAGGGAATAGGTTAAAAAAAAGAAAAAAAGACGTGTCCGCTTTCCCGGCCTTAAAGGTAGAAGTGCGCGACAGTGCTCCCGGCTTGAAAGGGAGAAAAGTGGAAATGCGTTCCCGGCCTCAATGGGCTACAAGACAATTATGTGTCTAGTCGAGTTTGTGGTTCGGATGAACATCCAGCCTTATGAGAGTCTACTCTCTCAATATCCCTTCCCTGGATGTTCATTGGGGCTGGAGCAACGGGGTAGTTCAGCCAGGTTACAGTTCGCTCCAGCCGTCCGCTGCTGCCACCTTAACGTGGAGGGGGAGTTTCAGTACTCCGATGTTGTCTGGGGCTTCATGCCCCTGGTAGGGTCTCCCATGGCAAACAGGTCTTGGGTGACGAGTCAGACGAAGCGCAGTCCGAAGCCAACCATGGATAGCACGACAGCGACAGTGTCGCCCGGTATGGCACAACCGGGGCCCCACCCTGGAGCCAGGCCTAGGGGTTGGGGCTCGAAAGCGAGCGTCTGGTGGCCAGGCCTTAACCCACGGGGCCCAGTCGGACTCAGCCCAAATTGACGACGTGTCCAGGCCCTCCTGTGGACCCACCACCTACAGAGGGATCCATGGTGGTTCGGTGCAGAGAAGACTGGGCAGCAATCGAAGGCGGAGACCTCGACGACCCAGTCCACGCACACAACATCTGTCTCTTGGGACGTGGAACGTCACCTCACTGGGGGGGAAGGAGCCTGAGCTCGTGGGGGAGGTTGACAAAAACCAACTAGAAATAGTCGGCCTCACCTCCACTTACAGCTTGGGCTCTGGAACCCTTAATTTCTCTGGCGTTTCTCACGGGGAGAGGCGGCGAGCAGGGGTGGCGATTCTCATTGCCCCGTGTTGGAGTTCTCCCCGGTGAATGAGAGGGTCGCGTCCCTCCGCCACCGGGTGGGGGACAAGTCTCTCACTGTTGTGACGGCCTTCTTGGAGTCCCTGGGGGGTACTGGACAGTGCACCGACCAGGGACTCCGTTATTCTCATGGGGGACTTCAACGCCCATGTGGGAAATACCCGTGACACCTGGAGAGGGGTGAACGGGAATAACAGCCCTCCTGATCTGAACCCGAGCGGTGTTCAGTTGTTGGACCTCTGTGCTAGCCACAGTTTGTCCATCACGAACATCATGTTTCGAGCACAAGGGTGTCCACCAGTGCACGTGGCACCAGGATACCCTAGGCCGGAGGTAGATGATCGACACGCAGACCTTTGTTCGCTGGCAAGGGAGGAAGCCGGTCAATCCTGGCAGACCCAAGCGTGTATTGACGGTCTGGGAAATTCTTGCTGAGCCCCCTGTCAGACGGACTTTCAACTCCGACCTCTAGGAGAGCTTCTTCCAGGTCCCGGGGGAGGAGGGGGATATTGAGTCTGAGTGGACCATGTTCTCCACCTCTATCGCCGATAGAGGCGGTCCCAGCGGCAACCCCCGAACCCAGTGGTAGACACCGGTAGTAATGGATGCCGTCAGGCTGAAGAAGGAGCCCTATCGAGCCATGATGGTTCATGGGACTCCTGAGGCAGCTGTCCAGTATCGGCAGGCCAGTCGTGCCTCGGTCCGGGCTGTTGCAGAGGCAAAAACCCGGGACTGGGAGGAGTTCGGAGAGTCCATGGAGCATGACTATCGATCGCCTGGAAGAGATTCTGGCAAACCGTCCGGCGCCTCAGGAGGGGGAAGCAGTGCTTTGCCAACACCGTGTTGACCTCACCTGGGGATATTGTTCGCCGGTGGAAGGAATAATTTGAGGTTCTCCTCAATTCCCCCATCACTTCCATCGTCCCGGAAGCAGAGGCTGAGGATGTTGGGGCAGATACCTCCGTCTCCCTGGCTGAGGTCACCAAGGTGGCTGGCAGCCTCCTTGGTGGCAAGGCGCCGGAAGTGGATGAGGTCCGTCATGACTATCTAAAGTCTCTGGATGTTTTAGAACTGTCTTGGATGACACGTCTCTGCAACATCGCGTGGCGATCGGGGGCGGTACCAATGGAGTGGAAGACCGGGGGGGATGGTCCCTCTCTACAAGAAGGGGGACCGGAGGGTGTGTTCCAATTATTGTGGGATCACACTCCTCAGCCTCCCCGGTAAGGTCTACTCCAAGGTACTGGAGAGGGGACTTCGATCGATGATCGAATCTCAGTTTCAGGAGGAGTAGTGTGGTTTTCGTCCCGGCCGTGGAACACTGGACCAGCTCTACACTCTCCATCGCATACTCGAGGGTTCATGGGAGTTTGCCCAACCTGTCCACATGTGCTTTGTGGATCTGGAGAAGGCGTTCTCCGGGAGCACGGGGTCCGGGGTCCTCTGCTGAGGGCCGTCTGGTCCCTGTATGACCGAAGCCAGACCTGTGTTCGCATCGCCGGCAGTAAGTCAGAAGTAAGTCTGTTCCCGATGAATGTTGGCCCTGCGCCAAGGCTGCCCTTTGTCGCCAGTTCTGTTCACTGTCTTTATGGACAGAATTTCTAGGCCGGAGGGGGTCCGGTTCAGAGACCACGGGATTTCATCTCTGCTGTTTGAGGACTTTGTTTTCCTGTTGGCTCCAATGAACCAGGACCTGTAACATGCACTGGGATGGTTTGCAGCCGAGTGTGAAGCAGCTGGGATGAGAATCAGCACCTCCAAATCCGAGGCCATTGTGCTCGACCGGAAAAAGGTGCCTTGCCCTCTCCAGGTGAGTGGAGTGGTCCTTTCTCAGGTGGAGGAGTTCTCGGGGTCTGGTTCATGAGTGAGGGAAGGATGGATTGTGAGATTGACAGGAGGATTGGGGCAGCGTGCGCAGTGATGCTGTCGCTGTATCGGACCGTTGTGGTAAAGAGGGAGCTGGCCTCGGGGAAGACCCAGGACACGCTGGAGGGACTATGTTTCACAGCTGACCTGGGAACGCTTTGGGGTCCCCAGACGATCTGGAGGAAGTGTGTATCGATAGGGAAGTCCGGGCGTCTCTGCTTAGACTGCTGCCCCCGCGACCCAGCAACGGATGAAGCGGAAGAAAATGGAATGGAAAGTCTTGGCTGGATGGTATCGAAAGCCTAGAGAAAATCAAAATAGAATCCTTGCAACGGTGCCGGGCATCTCCAGCTGGCACAGAGCGTAATGGAGGAGGAAGAATAGGTTGTTCTCTGTAGCAGCTAACATACCAAGGTTTAATATTCATAAAAAAGCTAATCTATGGTTGTGTTCAAATGAGGATGAAAAATAGGTACCCCAGATTTAACCACAAAAAGGCCCTAGTATGACGCTTACATCAAGGTAGTCCTTCCTGTCTTTGTAGATGTCCGTGCCTTTGATGTTGGCGAGCACAGAGCAGCGCGGGCTGGGGAAGAGACAGGGTTAGTCTTGCTGTATAGACAAACATGAAGATAATAATGAATACTTACAACTGCACTCTGAAGACCACAGTGAGGAGCTCTATGCCGAGGCCGACTGCTAAACCCAAGTCTAGACCAAGTAGTATGGAGCCCACACAGGTCCCAATCCACACCACCTGACATGCAATAGCACAATTAATACTGTATACTTCAGGAAAATGAGTCCATCCTTCTATAAATGAATGAGACAGACTCTATTCCCCGTGTAACGTATTAGATCCATTGTGGTGTGCGACACAAAACGCATACCATTTTGAGCTTCCAAAAATCGCTGTCAATGATTGTGCAGTGAATTTTGTTTGTGCACTTCCTTCTCCATACACCCCCACATACACACACACCTTGTTTAACACACACCTTTTGTTTCACACACAAACTTCCCTCACCACTGCATATCCTGGGTCACGTGGGTCTACTTTGCATTAGGGTTAGAATATGTTTGAAATATTGTGTGTGAGTCTTACACAGTCGGTTTTGTCTCGTCTCCATAGATACGGCACCTCTGTGACCTGCAGCAACATCCCTTTGAGGTTCACGATGACCACTGCCCCCAAAACAGACTGGAACAAGCAGGACAGGACACAAGTATATCACATACGTTTCCCTGTTTCATGTCAGTTATTATCTGAAAATTAACTGAAATTTTCCCACTGAACAAAAGCTCTCAGGACAACTCACCCTCAAATCCACTTTTTTTTATATAAACAGTATAAATGAGAGTCCAGTAGTGTTGTATACATATTGTGGTCATAATGTGGTCACTTTAGTGCAAATTAGTTGAAAGATCAACTTTCTGCCTAAAACCGTCAGTGAGGCGCCATCTGCAGGCGACCTGTATTTACTACATTTGAATTTTGAATCTGGCGCCAACATTGGCGCAGCAGTGATTGCTGACAACTGCAGTGAATGCTGACGTCACTTTCTCTGCTGCCCTGAGGTATATAAGCGGCCCCAGTCTCGGACCTGCCCCCGTAGCGGTTTGGAGAAGGAATAGCAGAGAGTATTTTCATCGATTGTCAGGTTGGCGATTAGTTATAGCATTTAAGTAGATTTTTATTAGCATAACTGTTTGTATTATAGATAATTGTGTAGTGTTAATAGTGTTGTTGTTGAATATTGTAGTTTTAGTCATTAGTTGCTTTTATTGTTAGATTAGTTAGTTAGGTAGATTAGTTAGGAGATATGCGAGGAAATCTGACCTGGGTGTCAGACACAGTAACTTAATAAAAGTTCAGACAGACAGAAATAGTTCTAAAAGTAGGGTTGTTAAATGTGGATTAACGAACGTCAGATCAATCTTGTCTAAATCGCTTCTCATAAACAAACTTATTATGGACAAAAACTTGGATTTGTTTGCGCTCTCGGAGACTTTGCTCCAACAGGACGACTACGTTAGATTGAATGAGTGCACTCCTCCGACGCATGTTAACTACCAGAAAGCGAGAACTACAGGTCGCGGCGGCGGCGTTGCGATTATATCACACACCAACTTACTTCTTAGTCCCAAAACCAACAATGCTTTTCACTCGTTTGAAAACTTAACACTTTCAATCACCTGTCCTGGGTGGAGAAAACAAAAAGCGGTGCTATTTATAGTTTTATATCGACCTCCTGGTCCTTACAGTGAGTTCCTAACAGAATTCTCTGACTTCATTTCAAACCTAGTTTTGGAATGGGAAAACATAGTTATAACTGGAGACTTCAATATACATGTGGACGACAGCACTGACAGCTTAAACAAAGCTTTCAGCGCCATACTAGATGGTGTTAGTTTTACTCAGAATGTTGAGGAACCTACTCACATTCATAACAACACCTTGGACCTTGTCCTGACCTACGGCTGTGATGTCTCCAATGTTGACGTCCAGCGTCAAAGCTCGTTGCTGTCTGACCATTTCTTGATCACGTTTGATCTTGATTTGGAGGACTTTCCTGCGCCGCAAGATAAAACCATAATGAAAAGAACCTTAAATGATAAATCTATCACAAGGTTCAAAGAACTGATACAGCCAATGTTGAATACTGCTGCAGGTGAACCTGTTCACAGCTGCTGAAGTCCCTCAGTCATTGACCAAACGGTGGACAACACTATGGAGTCTTTAAAATCTGCATTAAATGCAGCAGCTCCTTTAAAACAGAAAACTATTAGGATTAGATCATCATCGCCCTGGTACAGTGTTCAACTCCACACTTTAAAACAGGACGTCAGAAAATTGGAGAGGCTATATCGCCACTCCCACTCGGAGCCTGTCCACAGGGAGTGGAAAGCAGGTCTCCGAAACTACAAGAATGCCCTTCGCAGGGCTCGAACTCAATACTATTCAACTTTAATAGAAACCAATAAAAATAACAGTAGATTTTTGTTTAGCACTGTCGCTAAACTCACAAACTGCCATAGCGCAATCGAGCCTAAAATTCCAAGCTCACTGAGCAGTGTCGACTTTCTCCACTTCTTTAATAAGAAAATTACATCCATCCGTGACAAACTGGAGGAGGTTACCTCCTGCAGAGGTAATATCTGTGGTCACATCCTCAAAAGCCTCAACTTGCATGTTAGACGCAATCCCGACTTGGCTCTTCAAAGACATACTTCCTTTGATAATTGAGCCTATCGCAAATACAATAAACGCATCCATACAATGTGGCCATGTCCCACAAGAAAACAAACCTGGACCCAGAAATACTTACAAACTACAGACCGATCTCGAACCTCACTTTCATATCTAAAATCCTGGAAAAACGTATAGCTGAGCAGCTTTGCTGCCACCTGCAGGAAAATAATATGTTTGAAGTCTTTCAATCAGGATTCAGAGCTCAACATAGCACTGAAACGGCACTAGTCAAAGTCACAAATGACTTACTACTAGCTGCTGATAATGGACAAGTGTCAGTGCTGGTCCTACTGGACCTTAGTGCTGCATTTGACACAATAGACCACAGCCCTTGGCTGGTTTAAATCCTATTTATCAGATCGGTATCACTTCGTCAACGTAAATCAGAACTCGTCACCTTATTCTGGAGTAGAATTCGGTGTGCCGCAAGGTTCGGTACTCGGATCGATTCTTTTCACTCTCTACATGCTGCCGTTAGGAAATATAATTAAAAAGCATGGAATTAATTTACACTGCTATGCAGATGACACACAGCTTTATCTGTCGATGAAGCCAAATCAGACGGATCGGCTAGAAAAGCTTAGTACCTGCATAAAGGACCTTAAAACGTGGATGACTACTTCTCAACCCGGAGAAGACAGAAGTGATCCTACTCGGTCCGAAGCGCCTGCGTGACTCCCTTACCAACCAGATAATCACTCTCGATAATGTCAGTATTATACCCAGTAACACTGTGAGGAATCTTGGAGTCATTTTTGACCAAGAACTCTCCTTCAAGGCTTATATAAGCCAAGCGACTAAAACGGCGTACTTCCACTTACGGAACATCACTAAAATTAGGAATTTCCTTCCTAAAAGTGACGCGGAAAAACTTATTCACGCTTTTGTCACCTCAAGACTTGACTACTGTAACGCTTTATTGGCAGCATGCCCTAAAACCTCTTTGAAGAGCTTCCAGCTCGTTCAGAATACAGCAGCTAGGATCTTAACAGGTACCAAAAGGAGGGAGCACATAACTCCGGTGTTAAAATCACTCCACTGGCTCCCTGTGGAGTACAGAATAAAGTTTAAAATCCTTCTCTTAACACATAAAGCCATAAATGGCTTGGCTCCTTCCTATCTTCCTGACACGTTAGTGTCATATCAACCAAGTCGAGCGTTGCGCTCACAAAACGCCAGACGTCTGGTGGTTCCTAAGGTCTCAAAAATCACTGTTGGCGGCAGAGCATTTAGCTACCAAGCTCCTTTACTGTGGAATCAGCTTCCCATTTATGTTAAGGAAGCAGATACGGTCTCCACATTCAAGGCCAGGCTTAAAGCACTCTACTTTAATTTAGCATATAATTAGGTTATATATACTGTAATATATGGTGTATATATTATATTATATTAATATATATATATAAATATATATATATATATATATATATATATATATATATATATATACAGTGCCTTGCGAAAGTATTCGGCCCCCTTGAACCTTTCAACATTTCGCCACATTTGAGGCTTCAAACATAAAGATATACAATACATTTTTTTGTCATGAATCAGCAACAAGTCGGACACAATCGTGAAGTGGAATGAAATTTGTTGGATAATTTAAACTTTTTTAACAAATAAAAAACTGAAAAGTGGGACGTGCAATATTATTCGGCCCCTTTACTTTCAGTGCAGCAAACTCAGTCCAGAAGTTCAGTGAGGATCTTTGAATGATCCAATGTTGTCCTAAATGACTGATGATGATAAATAGAATGCACCTGTGTGTAATCAAGTCTCCGTATAAATGCACCTGCTCTTTGATAGTCTCAGGGTTCTGTTTAAAGCGCAGAGAGAACCATGAAGACAAAGGAACACACCAGGCAGGTCCGAGATACTGTTGTGGAGAAGTTTAAAGCCGGATTTGGATACAAAAATATTTCCCAAGCTTTAAAGATCTCAAGGAGCACTGTGCAAGCAATTATATTGAAATGGAAGGAGTATCAGACCACTGCAAATCTACCAAGACCCGGGCGTCCCTCCAAACTTTCATCTCAAACAAGGAGAAAACTGATCAGAGATGCAGCCAAGAGGCCCATGATCACTCTGGATGAACTGCAGATAACTCCAGCTGAGGTGGGAGAGTCTGTCCATAGGACAACAATCAGTCGTGCACTGCACAAATCTGGCCTTTATGGAAGAGTGGCCATTTCTCAAAGATATCCAATAAAAGTCTCTTAAAGTTTGCCACAAGCCACCTGGGAGACACACCAAACATGTGGAAGAAGGTGTTCTGGTCAGATGAAACCAAAATCAAACTTTTTGGCCACAATGCAAAACGATATGTTTGGCGTAAAAGCAACACAGCTCATCACCCTGAACACACCATCCCCACCTCAGCTGTAGTTATCTCCTGAGACCCTGCGACCTCATACGAGGACATTACATTTTTGCCTCTTGGCACAATGATACTCAATTTTTTACATCCTTGACCTGATGGCCACATTTAGGGACACTGCCCGCGCCATCGTGTGGTGATATGATAGAATTACACTTAAGGCAGTAGGAAAAAAATGGTGGGAATATCAGCAAAAGACTTCTACAAGAGTTTACAGAAGAAAAATGCCCCAGGTAAAAATTCTATCAACATTTTATGAAAGAAATCAATTTATTTATGCACAATGTCTCTAGCTTCATATGGAGTTTGAAATTTGACAAATTTTGATTGTAGTAGCAGGCTAGGATGTCAGTAAAAGTGAAGCACTCGTTTGAGGACGCTAGGACTATGTACCGCTATCTGTTTAGCTAACCGTGTGGAAGATTTAGATAAAGTTACAGTTGTAAATAGTTATTTTGAATCACACATTTGCTTAGTTATGTGGTTTACAGTTGTAAATAGTATATTTAAGTACTAAGTGGTATATGCTAAGTATTGTTTAGTGTTGCTAAATGCTAAATCATAAACAATA